CATCCTCTGTTATAATGTATTGATACTATATTAATATATTGAAGTTTTAACTAATAATTATAATGTTACATTTTATATCATAACACCGTAAATCTATACCTAATTAAATTTCCTGATGCACAACATCTTCTTTTTCACAATTTTCAATCTTTGTTCTGATATTAGTATCAATTGGCACAAAAGTTTTTATTTTTAAATACATAATTTTTTTTGAATCATCATCACTTAACCTTATCAACCTTACTATACCAGTTATATCTTTAACTGTGTATTTAGTTATTTGACATTCAGTACTATTATAAATGTAGCAAATAGCAGAAATCTTAGTAAGCATTTTTATTTTATTAAAAAAAAAGTCAAATTTTTTTTAATTAAAAAAAATTAAATGTTTTATTTTATTTTTTTTTATATCTATTTTTTTACATCCAGTATTCTCAAAATTAATTCCTGTATTAGATAATAGATAAGTTCTATTATTATATAGTTTACGGATAAAAAAGTTAACAATGGGCTTAGCAAATAAAAGAAAAAAAAAATTAAACACATGATTGTCCTTTTTTTTATATATAAAGAACATCAATTTTTAGGGGGGATGGTAGGAAGTTTTTAATCATAATGGTAATTGTAATGGTAATAGTAATAGTAATTATATAGGAATGAATTAGAATATGGTAATTAACTATGATTATGATAATAATTACAATTATAGATTATTTTAAAAACGGATCCAATGTTTTTTCTTTTTTGATATGAAAATCTCACCAAAAAAGAATATGATAGACAAGTGTTTTGAACATAACGAATACAAATTTTACTATTAAAAATTAAAAAAAACCACTTAAAACCCAAAAACCCATATCACGTTATATACTAATTTGGAAAAAGATTGGTTCTATTATAAAATATAAAAATATTATAAAATATTATTGTCTGGAGCATAGCATAGGACACTTATTGGACAAGTAAAGTGATACCAAAGTTACGTTTTTGATGCTTTAAAGTTCTGGTCTTGATGCATATATCAATAAAATAAATAAAAAATGTCAAAAATGTAACTTCGGATAGGTGTCTGCCTGATTTTATGATAATGATTGTAAGATAAAAAACACATGACAAATAATAAAGATAAAAAAAAAAATCTGATAACACATATGCTTTATTTTTTTAATTAATTAATATTGCTCTGAACTTACAACAGTTCCCATTTCCTTGTTATAATACTGATTAAATAAATAAAAATAAATAAAAATAAAAATATTACATTTCTCCCTCTTTAAAATTCAACATCCACATTAATTTTCAAATTCATTTAATAATTTTGTTGTATTTATTAAATTTTCCTTGGATTTCCAAGTTGTATCATATAATGGGTAACCTTTTTATTTAATTAAATAAAATAGTTTTTGTTGAATCATCTTTTTATCTAAAATATTTTTAACTTTGTATTCCTTTTTTTGAATTTTAAAAATTACTTCTGATTGTGATAGGATTTCATGATTAAATTTATTAGGATTATCTTCATATGGTTTTAACATTGACACATGGAATACCGGATGTGTTTTTAAGGTAAAGGATAATTTTAACTTGTATGTGGTTGGTAAAATGATTTGTTCAATTATATAAAGTCCCATATATTTAGAAGAAAGTTTCTTGATTAGACAATTATATTGAATAGGATTTATTATACTAATAGTATTTACCATTACTTCACACCCTTTGATTGAATAATCCACATGTCCAGAGGAATCTTCACCAGATACATCATCTTGGTATGCAATATATATTTTTTCATTGTTCAAGTAATTGCGATTGATGCATTCAGGATAGAAGTAATAAAAACACAACGGGTTGCTTCATTGGTGCTGTCCTGTATAGTCTCCAAATTCGAAAGCCTTAATATATTTCTTTCATACACTGTTTAAGATCTTCATCATCATCAGTGATTTCTTTGTAAACTGTAGAAATATATGTATATATAAATATGTGTTTTAGATACTAGCTCTGCTATACAAGTATTCTCTTACAAAAAATATATATTTTATTTACCTGGATTAAATTGTTTTATACATGTAATTTTTTCACCATTGACTTTATATTTACGGAGCAATACCTTCAATTTATCTAATGTATTATATGACGAGAAAGCCTGTAATTTTGTTTCGTTAAGCTCTTCAATAAAATCAGCAAGAATAGTTGCAGGTCCTAGTTTGAAACCGCAATCTTTTAAATCTTGCTTACTAAACTTGAGAAAGGCACGACCAGCTATTTTTTGTTTACGGAGAATCGCAAAATCTTCATCATCTAATTTCAAATTATTCCTATCCAAATAATCGATATGTTGCTCAGTATAACGTCCCCCATAGTACGAGTTATTATTTCTTCGTTAGAATATATTCTTGAAGGCGAGGAAGGCGAAGGTGGAGAAGTGTGTGAAGTCATTTTTTATATCGGTATATGGCGTAAAAAAATCTGGTTTATGCAGTAAAGTGAGATAATGCAAGGGAGAGAATGAAAAATTTTTTCGTAAGTGAATCAGTGTCTATTTGTAGTATATCGATTAAGCAGGTTATAAAATTGGCAGACATACGACGATCTCGGAGATTTCGGAGATTTCGAAACCTCATAAGTAGCAATTTCTGATAACGACGCTGATATGGAACGATAAGTTCTTTCTACTTATGTGATTTATTTGTGCTGGTTCTTTAGTTCTTTATTGCGGAGACGTGTGTGAGTAGGAAGTTTTCTATATAAATAGATTTACGGTTAGTTACACAAGATACGTTATTAAAATTCCGCAGTACTCTATGAACTATAAACTTCCATAAGCGGATTGTCAGTTAATTGAACATCCAAATCAAGTAAGAATCCACGAGTAAAAAACGCAATCGGATATAGAAATATGTGGATCCGTATAATAAGCCAGATTATCAATATCCATTATCGACATTTAAAATATTACTATTTGCCAGTACGATTTATGAACCAATTTTTGATCTTATATTCCAAGATCAATCTATATACTCGATATATAACAACTTACATATTTCATATATTTTCATCACAAATATCTTACAAAATATGGCGAATATAACACTCTTAAAGTAATGGACCGAGAATCAAATCTCACTAAAATTGAATCACATATTCATAATGTATATAGTCATTAAATCTAATAGGTCTAGCCACGAAGTGACTGCTTTCAGCAAATCCCTAAATACGATATAACTACCATAAACACTATAATTAGGTCATATAAGATATATGGTTAGCTTAAGTGAAAGACGTGGAACCAATTGTACCAATGCTGAATGGGATGAATATCTGGAGATGGGTAATGTTTCAGCGAATGAAACTCCTTCTGAATGGATGAATCGAATTTGGCCTCGCTTACAGTATTTCAGAGAGAATAATCTCCTACCTACTAATAGCAAAAAATATCTTGAAGCCAGAAAATTAATAACATATTGGTCTGAGATTAATGGATTTTGGAAAAGCTATGCACCTGAAATTGGTATTGCTATCTGTTTCTCTTGTGATCAATTGGTATATACCGGAAAACAAACCAAAAATATTGGAAATTATAACCATATAGGAATGGAGAGGCATTGGGCTACCCATTGTACAGGAAATACCTTTTGTGGTGTAAGTTATGATGAATATTTACTGAAAATCGAACAAAAATCTATTGATAATGAGTATGCATTGCATCGATATGGATTGTGGGTGCAGAATGCTATCAGAAGGGTCAAACGTGCCAGAGAAATTGGGAGAAAAATCCAAGCTGTAAATATTATTAGAGAACATGTTCTCCGATACGTCTATAGATCAGATAGTAATTTAGTAAAGAAATTAACCATAAGATATAAAATGCATCAAGCAAAGTTAATTGGTCAATAATATTTTTTATTGCTGATGCACATTTTTTGTCATACACTTTATTTCTTAATGGAATATCTATTAATTACCAACGATACATTTTTCATATCAGTAATTTTAGACCAACTTTGAATAATAAAAGTAAGGCCTTATCCGATTCTTTATAGAAAATATGTTTTAACCTTTAAGCTTATCATAACATCGCAACAATCTGTATGTGTAATGAAATTTAATCGTGACAGCACTGCTAAACGAACGCATTTAATTTTAATAATGTTTTTGTTTGTTTGCCCACATCGGGCTTTATCTTTAACTTGTAAAATAGTGTATATATTGTACGTGCTGGAATAATAAAACCATTACATGTTGTATTGAAAAAATGATAAATTCTGTGTTATTGTTTTACACTAATCCAATTTATATAACTCATGACTCTTGTTCAATAAATATACTAGCATTTTCGCGAATATAGCATTCTATTGATTGCGACTGAAAGGTCACACTATCTCTTGATGGATGGTATGCAAACACATTAGCTTCTAAAACTTCACTGTATTTCTCGTCCTTAAAATATTCTCTAAATAAATCAGTATCAATCTCTTTAGAATCCAGCAAAACTTTAATTAAACGTTTTCCTGCTTCATGATTTGATTGATTTCGAAGGAGGTTTGCAAAATCAAATTTTTTTCTTGACTTTAGTTAAGATCGACTGTTTAATTACTATAGATAAAGTTAAACAATTAATTCAAAGTGTAATCGCGTAAATTAATTTGATGTAAAATGACGAAACCAATTCTTACCTTCAAAGGATTGTCCAGCAATAAAATCATCTGCAACAGACTTCAACTCTACAATGCGACCACCAACCAATTTATATAATTTTTTTGCTTCCACCTCATTGATCTTGCGCTTTTTAATCAGATATTCCATTGATTCTTCTTCGCTAAGATCTCCAATCTCAATTACTGGCTGTTTTGCTCGTGACCAAGCACTGCGTGCTAAAATAAAAACACCAGTCTGTAATTTGTATTATTTTTTTTAAAAAGTATTAAAATTTGAAATACTTACATTCCATTCTCCGGGGAACTGAACCTTCACTAGTGACAAACACAGCAACATATGTTCTTTCATCAGCATTATCCTTGGCCTCATCTTGAAGGATGTCGAGAATTTCTGAATTTTTGTGAACCAATCGGCTAACATTATCATAAATAATAACTGGCAGTTTTCCATGTTTTTCTCTATATACTTCAGAAGCACGTCGAAAAATTTCCAAAACTCTTCTCCACTGGTAAGAGGAAATGGTAGACTCGCCACCAGTTACACCCACTGCAGAAGAAAAAAATTTTCGAACCAGAAATGCTGTAATAGAGGTGTCTTCAAAGAATGACAAATTAATGGCCTTCCCAAAAGCTTTTCCCAAGTTCTCAAAATCGGAAGGAATATCAACATAGATGACGCCTTTTCCAATATTTTTTGCCTCCCTTCTAGTCAATGTTGTCTTCCCGGTTCCATGTTCTCCGCAGACGACATGATAATATGAATGATCTTCATCTGGTTGAAAAACTTTCTCAAGGGTTTCGGAAATTTGAGGTCGAGAAACAAACTGCCCATCCTTCACTTTTGCCACAGGCCTAGTACCATTTTCTAGAGCCGAGCCGACACGATACTCACTGACCTTGTCCACGACAAAAGCGACAAGAAAGTCCGCTAATATAATTTGCTTCCAATTGTTTCGTAAGAAATTCCATATATCTTTCCACCCGAAAGTGGCAGACGAAGTATGAGATGGAGGTTTGGGTTTTTTTAGTTTTTTTGAAATATCAATAAACTTCTTTTGCACCAGTTCTCCAAAAGATGTCACTGGAATTTTGGAACCCTCTGGTATCACATCTTCAGCTTTATGTCCGGCCTCAGCGTCTTTTACGTTTGTAAAATTTCTCGAAAACGTTGACTGAAGTAAGTCAGGTCTCGAGTTCCTCAACGTAAGACTCGGTGACTGAAGGCATCGTACTCGATGGTTAACGAAGTGAGATGGAAAAATGTTTTTACGAAAGACCTGAGTGGAAAACATCATTGATTGTGGTTTAGTAGATCATTAGGTACAAATGTTGCACAAATCAAAATTCAAGCGTGATATCATATAGGTATGAATTTCCGACGAAAACGAGATTTGATATTCTGTGATTTCGATCAGGCGGTATGTAATTTTATTTAACCGCACTTTCATTTTGTCTTGGGTGAGGTTTTGAGCGTGTATTGCTGGGATATGGCATGTGCATCAAATAAGCGAGTAGAGGTTTTAGGTAAACATCGTAGTTTATTCATCACTAAAAGATACATTGGCCGATTGAGAACTACTAGCAACTTTTTTAATGTGTATGCTGTATATGTGATATGTGTATCGGAAAAAATTTTTTTAATGTTCTTGATTTTATTAATACAGTGATTAGCATTTAAAGTTTTAAGTTTACTTAATAAGACCCAATTCTCGAAGATGCTCTGGAATAACTACATATGGATCTTCACTGTACCAAACATATCTTAAAACAATCCAGTTTTCTTCACACAATTCATTCTTGAGTTGATCCCACTTTTGCTGTCGGACAAAATTATTGGGATCTCCTCTGTGAAAGAATTCAATATATTTTTCATGTTGTTGCCCTTGTACTTCAATAGCAAAGCCATAATTATAATATGGGATATCAAGTTGGATGTTCTGGTGTTTCTGGTCTATGATTTTCAGATGAACCAAGATACTTGGTTATAATTTCATGGCATAAATTTTCACATTTATATTTTGAGCAATAGGGACACCATGTGCCTCTAATTTTTATATTCCAAAGTGATGCATTCCATAAATGCCCATTAGCACATTTCCATAATAAATCTGAATAGGTATTAATATATTCTTTAGAAAGGCATTCCCCATTTCAATCAAAAGCAATTTGTTTAGGAACTTCAATAGTATACCGAACATTGCCTGCGCAATATGGACACCATGTATTATGTTTATTTACTTTATTAAAAGTTGCGTACCACTTATGACCTTTTACACAACACCATAATAGTTTAGTATCACAATTTTTATATTCAGTTGAAAGACATTTCCCATTTCTTTATATGAAATTTGTTTGGCATCTTCAAGAGTATGAGGGATTACACCTATACAATGTGAACACCATTGGCCTCTTTTTATATTACTTAGAGTTGCATTCCATTCATATCCTTTAGCACAGTGCCATAATAAATTGGTATCACAATTTTGTATTTGGTTGAAAGACACTCGCCATTTCTATCATGAGCTATTTGTTTAGCAATTTCAAGATTAAGAGGTTTTATGTGCCTGCAATCTGGAAACCAAGAACCATTATTTTTTATTTTCATAAGATTAGCAACCCATTTATGTCCTTTAACACAGCGCCATAATAAAGGTGTTCTATTATTAATATATTCTTCTGAGAGACATTCACCATTTTTGCTACATGCCAATTCTTTAGCAACTAAAATATCAAGCCTGGTATTATAACAAGTAAGACACCATGTTTTACCATTTTTTATTCTATGAAAGTCTACACTCCACTCATGTCCTTTTATACATTTCTATCTTAATGGAGTATTGCAATTAATATAATTATCAGAAAGGCGTTGCCCACCTCAGCTTTCAGCAATTTTACAAGTATCATGTATTGAATATTTGATACTGACTGGCATCGAGAATTGAAATACTTTTAAATAAGAAGCTAGATCTTTAAATATTTAATTGTGACAGCCAAACAGTTAGCTATACATTTCAAACTATTATGGGCAGTTCGAGAGAAATGCGTGTTAGCAATGTATAATTATAACTTATTCATGTATAATTTATCTAGACTTTTATTTATTGCTAATTTCGTGATGATTAATAGCTATTTTTTGTCATAATTTATCAAATAAACTTTACAGTAAATTTACTTTCTGATTTATTGTAACGATCAAGTGTTTGCATCAGTCAAAAAAAAATTTCTTAAACATTAAATAAGCATAAATTACATTTTCAAATGCATTTAAAGTTTCAAGTTTACTTAATAAGATCCAATTCTCGAAAATGTTCAGGAATAACTTTATATGGGCTTTCGTAGTACCAAGTATATCTTAAAATGATCCAATTTTCTTCACACAATTCTTTCTTGAGTTGATCCTATACTTGCTATTTGATAAAATTATTTGGGTCTCCTCTATGAAAGAATTCAATATATTTTTTATGTTGCATCCCTTGAACCTCAATTGTGACACCATGTTCTGAATAAAATATATCAAGTTGTAGACCTTAAGGAGATTCAACTGTTTTTAAGAAGTCTGGTCAATGATTTTCTGATGGAAGTCCAAGATAATTAATCACAATCTCGTGACATAAATTCTTCCATTTGAATTTTGAGCAAAATGGGCACCATGTATTATGATTTTTTATACTACTAAAAGATGCATACTATATATATGATTTATTACATTGCCATTTTAATGGAATTGTATTATTAATGTATTGGATAGAAAGACATTTACTTCCTTTACTTTCTCCAATTTGTACTGCAACTTCAAGACTAAGACAGTTACAGTTATGATTATTAATATAATATTGACACCATATACTGTGATGGTCTGCTCAGAACAAAAAGTAAAGTTATGTCAATTAGTCCCACAAAATTGAACTCTTGTTACACCCCTTTTTGTACTAAATCAACATACTCTTGTATGTAATATTTCATAATGCCCACTATCTATCAGTAGGATCATGTAGTTACTTGCTTACTTGTAACGAACAGATATATAAAATAAACTTTAACACAGTATATACAGGTGCAATCTGAAGGTATGTGAGTAAGTGGAGTAAAAGTATCCTTTTACAGCTTACTATACTATGTAAACTTTTGAATCTTAGCTTTAGACTTTATTCAGTAACTTTATTCAAGAAATTACAAAATTAGTAATAGAGATATTACGGGCTGTTAACCATTTCTCATCAATATTACTGTTATCACAAAATAAAATATTTAAAATGTATCAAATTATTACGGAGTATGTTAAAACTATTAAACTTATTGTAAAGATATAACAACAAAAATATATCACTGCTTTGACATGTCTTATCTATGTTGATAAATCGAAACAATACATTTCTATCTTTATTATTTAATTTTTATTACAAAATATATACCAAAAGATTATTTATTATTTTATTACAAATTAGGTGAAAGATTTTTATAATTATTCGAAATGTACCAAAAGAAAATTAAAAATTATAAAAATTACAAAAATGAACCAATCCCTTTCACATCCTAAATTACTAGTTTATTTTATATACTTTTGAACTTGTTTTCCTTCATCTTTTGTTGTCACGTCTAAATACGTTCTTTTCTATTTTTAAAGATGACACACAAAGATGAAAGACAATGTACAAGGATAAAAATCTGTTATCTAGATGATAACACACTCATCCTGGTTACACTATCATCTTACTGTCATCTCCTGTGATACTTGTAACATTTCAAAATCCTGTGCACATCCCATGTGAAATTTGTGCACCTCAAACATTTCTTCCTTCAAGGAGAAACTCCTGTGATCCCATACTCATACTCCATAAATCACCCATTAACTGTAAATACATTTCACCACACATTTTCAGCAATTTTTTGTATTCCTGTTTTGGAAACTTGTAGATTCAGTCAGGTGTGACCAGTTGAAGATTCTTTGGTCGCAACATTCTAACTGTTTGTGCAAGAGATCTTATCTTTTGTACTATTAGATATATCCATGATCTGTTCTAATGAGAATACCCTTGTAACTCATATTTAATCAACATAGCCATATGGATTTTTTGAGAAATAGAGACATACTCTCTAAGCCTTCTATAAGTATTTACCTGCTGTCCATTAAAATTATCTGGATCTTTGGCTACAGAGAGCAGTTCAGCTATGTCATAATCAAACACTGCTTCTGTAAAATCGTGTATTTCTTCAGGTACAGCTATTACATCCAGGACATATGGAAGTAGCATGTCATTCTCTTGCTGTACCACTTCATCATTCAGGAATCTTCTAGGTTTATTGTGTAACTTTCCATTATCAGATATACTCCTGTTGTTGACCATGATCTGACTTTCAAAGGATATGATTAATTATTAGCTAAAGGTACGATAGCTAACTAAAATATAATAAACTACTAACTAATTTATACTAAAAAGTAATATGGTTAAAAGATTTAGATATTACGAATTTGTTCGAAAGAGGTAAAGCTATGAGATTTTTATAAGGGTTTGACTAAACTATTCACAAAGAATATAACTAAACTAAACTAAATTAATAATTCCTAATACTAAGTAGAGAATTATAACACAAAAACAATATAC